CCCCAAAACCCCAAAACCCCTTTGTGTTTTATCTGCAAAAAAGTCAAAGTCTAGATTAAATACTTACAAATTAAATAAAATATATTAATAGATTAATGATAAACATTATTGTGAAGGAGGATAAAGTCCCTAATCTCTCTTTTACTCGACATGATTCTCCTCTTAAAAAGTCTATAAACCAACTTCCATTCAGACCTGATTCAGAAGAGGATTTAGTAAATTATAATGATGAGTCGAGAAGAACATTAAACGAATCTTAAATGACATATAAGCTATTAAAGCGTGTATAACAAATCTAAGCCTTAAATAATTTAACAAACATGTAAAAGCCCTATCAGAACTTAGATGATTAGAAAAGGAATGAAGGAGTAAAAAAGTAAATTAGTCAAGATATTAGTTAGGATGAGGAGTCTTATAGAGCATGATTTAGTAGTAGATATCAAATAACTAATGATTAGGGCACAAATACTCCTGCATAGGATCAAATTGAAAAACCCAAATAGCCAAATCTATATTACTCTAAAGTGACAGATATTTATTCTGGCGAGAATAAAAGAAAACAATCAACATAAAATCAGGTTTCATTTCAAAGACTCTATGGACTAGATAGTAGTATGTTAGAGCAAACATAAAATAATAGAGAGATTTATAAAATCCAATAGAGTCTCTTACCAAAGCCGAAAAAGAAACTCTTAAACAATAAATCTAGCATAGATCGGAAGTTTTAAAACTAATCTAAATTAACTAGTACGATGAATAGTAGAGAGCAATCATCAGCAGCCTCGAAATCCCATACAGAACTTCCGTTTCTAAATAATTCAATCGTCAATAAAGTCAAAGATCTTAGCGCAAGTATGCATAGATAGCAAGAATCAAGTAAAATGCTCAACATTAGTGACTATCATAATCTTAAGAATGGAATAAACAATTCAGTAACCTATGAAAGAAGGTCAAAGTAAAATAAAAGAAGAGTGAATTCTATTTAAATATGGAATCTTAACATGCAAACTGAAGTAAGACCTAGGGGAATACTAGATTGAACAAGCATTGAAAATATTCTAACGACAAATCTATAAATTGTAAAAAAGAAAATAGAGCCAGATTAGAAGCTCCGTCACTCACATCTGAACTTAACTAATCAATACAAGTAATATTACAAGAAATATTCTGATTTCTGCGGCTAAAGCAATCCTTAAAATGATAAAACCTAGGATGAGTACTAAAAGCTTTACGATTAGGCTGTTCGAAGTACACAGCTGAATTCGATGGCTGCTATAAGTATAAACAATCAAGTTGGCAGTTCAAATCACAGTCACAATTAAAGTGTCAGCTACAGCAATCATAATAAATCTCAGATGACTGTAAATAATAACTAGGAGCTTCCAAGGATCAATGAATCTATTAAGGATGTAAGTTAATTTGAAACTAAGAAAAGAAAGTATATCAAGCTCAGCAAATATAAACAGAACAGGATGCAAAGTCATGGGTATGATGAGTAAAATATCTCTGATGATGAGAACCCTCACCAATTCGACCACCTTAATAGTACAATGGTAAACGTAATGATAAAGAGATTTTGATATGAATTAAAATAAGTAAGAAAAAAATAAATTAGATTATTTTCCTGAAAGCTTATTAAATTTTTTATTTGATACTACTCTTAATTTCAATTACTATGATAGTTTTTCGGGGTTTTGGGGTTTTGGGG